GGCTTAGAAGCCATTGTTAAGAATGCTCCCTGTGAGCACGTCGCTCGACGTAGGTTGATTAGCCCTGCCCAGCACGGTTTTCTCAAAAATAGGTCTTGTTTGAGCCACCTCCTTTGTTTCTTAGACGAAGTTACGAAGAGGTTAGATTCAAATCAGAAAGTTGAAGTGGGCTACCTGGACTTCAGGAAAACTTTCGACTCGGTAAATCACCGGCTCTTGCTAATAAAACTCAAAAGTTTTGGTCTTCTAACAGCTCTAGTTTGATGGATAGAAGCTCTCCTCACCAACCGGACTTATAGAGTTCGGATGGGAGAAGCACTGTCCAACGTTGGCAGCGAATCCAGCGGGGTGCCTCAGGGCTCAGTGCTAGGCCCGATGCTTTTTCTATTGTTTACAAATAGCTTGGTCCAGGAGCTAGCGGTTCCTGCCTTCATCTTTGCCGACGACCTAAAACTATTAAACTCAGGACCTGTAGATCAAGTGGAGGGTAATCTGGCTTAGGTGGTCTGGTGGACACAGAAGTGGGACTTGGAGCTAAACACCACCAAGTATCACGTTCTAAATACCGTAGAGCCTCCGGTTTGCATGGCTACGACCATTGAACCGACGGTCTTTGCTCGCGTAGACCGAATGCTGAATCTGAGAATTTTGGTCCGTGAGGATTTTAAGCCCAGTAATCAATGCCTGACCGCGGCACAAAAAGCAGGAGGTAATTGTTCCAGCTTAATGCGGCATTGTCGTCAAGGAAGGCTGAGGTTTTCTTACCTCTATATAAGGCCATAGTAAGACCGCAGTTGGAATACTGCGTGCAGGCTTGGGCGCCTTACTTGAAAAAGGATATCATTGTCTTTGAAAGGGTTCAACGGTTAGCTATTAGGACGATCGCTGGGATGGTGGGTATGTCTTATAGGGAGAGGTTAGAATCCCTAGAACTTTATCTATGGAGAGGAGACGCATGAGAGGCGACATTATTGAGACCTTCAAAATAATGAAGGGGCTGACTGGGGTAGTGGTGGACAGCCTGTTTCCCAAGTACCGCTCGAGTCAACAAGGGGGTATCATCTGAAGCTAATGAAGCCCAGAAGCCGACTCAACCTTAGGCGCAACTTCTTTACAAGTAGAGTGATAGATGAGTGGAACGAAATAACATCTTCACTACTAGACTGTAGGACAGTAGAGGAGATCAAAAGGCAATTAGATGGGGTCTGGATCCACCTCTATCCCGAGATTTTGCACAGTGCCTACTATTGAGAGTAGCTGTTCCATGCTGCCTATTC